CTGAAAAACCATTGGAATGCCGATGTGCTCAAAAAATACTATGTGTAAATCCTTCGGATAGTACAATCCATGTAAGTACACTGATTTTGTTTGTAAAAAGGCCATCGAGCCAGTATTCATTCAGATTACGTGTATTCTTTAAGTCTTTATGCTTTCTACGGTTTTTCAAAAATTCAAGGTTTCATTCGGCGCTGTCCGGGGTATTGCATAATGATGCCTTGTACCTCGGCAAGCCGTAAAACCTGCCAAAAAAGGATACAAGCCCGAAGTATTGCATAGTGATGCCTTGTACTTCGGAGAATCTGTTCCTTTGGGCAAAAAGGCCATAGACTTATCCGAAACATAGCCTAAAAAATAGGAACTGATAAAGCCCCGAAGTATTGCATAGTGATGCCTTGTACTTCGGATGAATCAGTTCCGGGTGGTAGTTGCAACTCTGAAGTATTGCATGATGATGCCTCGTACTTCAGATAAACTGCTGCCCCGGCATGGTGTTTCGGATAGTTGTTCCCTTGGATGAATTGAAGAAAGTGTCACAAGAGTACCATCTCTAGAGTGAAAACTCTCAGGTGGGAAATCAGTACTTTAAAAACAGATGTAGAAAATAAAGCAAAGTGTTCAAAGATCCTCGGCTTAGCCGAGAAAAATTATCAGCCATTCCAGAATTCAGAAGACCTCATCTTCAGATTCCTGGGGGGGCAGAGGGAAATAGAGAAATGGCACAACTGATCTAATACCCTTCAGCTCAGCCGAAGTTTGATACTTATGTCAGTTTTTTCACAAGTTGAAAACATCCGAGTACAAACGGCAAAAAGAAGTCTCAGCAGAAATGATTCTCGCTAGCCGAAGTTCTGCACTTAGCAAATATTTGAAAGATCATTCAAAGAAAGCAGTAAAGTGCGAAGACTGGTAAAGCGAAGAAAAAAAATACACAACAAAGCTGAGAAAGTGAACTTCTTTGAAATAAAAATGTTGAATTACAAAAATAGTCGGCAGCCGCCCACAAGCGGAAAGTAACAGCTGCCGAAATACGTACATAAGCAAAAAATAAAACTGCTGTACGACAAGGCAAGCTGAAGCAAAAAACAAGGCAAAAAACTCAGAAAGCGGCAAGTCTAAAGTTAAGCACATGATGAACCGCAAGATTCTGAAGACGACTGCCCGAGTTCCTATGCTTCAGCCGGGGGATCAGACTGATCAGCGTTGAGTCCCATGGTGGCCTCAGCCCCAGCAGCAGAAGAGGCGGGCTTTGCATTTTGCCGAGCCTCCCTTTCCCTCTGCTCAGCTTCCAACTCCAGTCTTTCAGCTTCCTCTTCGGCTTCCTCAGCCTTAAGAATTTAAGCTTCAGCTGGAGTTGCATACTTCATGTGAGGGTCATCGGGATTCTGGACCCACTCAGCACATTTAGACCAGTCCAGCTTCGGCTCAGCATGAAGGCAGACTCTTCGGCAGACTCGAAATCCGTTTCTGAAACCCATCTCATATTCCTCTTGGGTATAGACACGGACCTTGAGTGAAGCCTCAGCATCAGCCAGCTTCTTCTGGGTCTCCTCCAAGTCATCCTTGGATTTCTTCAGCTCATCAGCGACTTTGGAGGAGGAACCCTTCAGCTCATTCAGCTCTTGCTGAATTTGGAAAGCCTTTGTCTGAGCTTGGGCCACTTCAACTTTCTGGATCAGCAGTTGATCCTCAGCCTCTTGGAATTTAGCTCTTTGAGCTTCAGCAGCAGCAGCAGCCTCTGAGAGTTGGACGTCTTTGGCCAAGAGCAACTCTTCAGCAGCCATTCGGCTGGCTTCAAGAGCCTCTAGACGCTGCTGCACTTCAGCTTGTGCAGCAGTTCCTTCTTGAATTCGGCTCTCAATAGCAGCCTTGAATTTGGAGACGTCCACTCCCATATGCTCCTGGAGGAATTTTTCCCCTTCCATCAGTGGGGGAAAAACCTCCATCTCCATAGCATCGCAGAAGGTTTTCAGAGCTTCGGCAGCTTTTTTACCGTACTCCTCAACCTCCTGCTGCTTCTCTTCAGCTGCTGCTTGCTTCAGCTTAGCAAGCTTAACTTCCTCTTCAGCCACCTTCCTTTCGTGCACAGCAGCGTCTACCCTATCTTGTAGGGTATCAATCAGCTCTACAGTGAGAGTCTGATTGTGCACGAACTGAAAACAGGAAGACAAAAAAAAATAAGTAAAAAAAAATAGAGCTGAATTTCGGAGGAAATGAAGGAAAATTACCTGCATCATCAGCAGTTGGTTAGACCTGGCTGGGTCAGGAACTGATCTACTGGATTCGCCCATCCCAGCAGTGGCCTTCAGCGACCAGATCCTTGCCCTGTCTACTTCGGACATGCCAGCAAAACTGCCGAAGTAGGCTTCAGCTCCTTCTCGGTTTTGACCCCATATGAGGTCCCAGATGTGATCTGGGATTGGAATTCGGGGGGCCGAGAAACCCATTTCTCCAGAATGCAGAGTCTGGAAAGAAGGGAAGGACGACGATGGAGCTTGATTAGCTTTGGTTGTCTCAGCATCGTCCTTCTCAGAGGAGTCAAGTACTATGACCTCCTCTTCTTCAGGGGTGAGGACGAAAGCCTCAACCTCTCTTGCGATATCTGCCGTGAAGCCTTCAGCACTTGACATCACGGCATCTTTATTTTCGTGCTCAGCAGCACTCTCCTTGATTTCTTCTTGGACCCCTCCCTTAGGTCCGGGAGTTCTCTGATCCACCTCCATCTCAGGAGGTGGCGGAGGGGTCTTTTGAGGAGATTGGGGTGTTGGCTGGGGAACCCTCGGCGATCCATTGCCTTCCTCAGGTTCCCTTATTGCGACGCCGATGGTCATCGGCCTCTGCTGAAAATCATGAGGGCCGATGATGGCCATCCTTCGGCGCCTTTTCAGAAGGGGCTGCTCGTCCATATCTGAATCTGAAGACTCTTGTATTTGATCTTCGGGACGAACAGGAGCTTTGCCTTCTCTGTGTCTGTTACTCTCTTCAGACTGTAACAGACAGGGGGGGAGAAGAGTGTGAGTAAAAAAAAAAAAAAAAGAAAAGAAAAGAAAAAAGTTGTCTAAAAACTCACCGAGGTCTTCAGCAAAGCCTCGTCTTCTTCAGCTGCTCTAGCTGCAGCTTCGGCTTCAGCAGCTCTGGAGGACCCTTCTCCTCCTTCACAAGCCTCAAGTACCCGTGCAACCTCTTCGGCTGTGCGGGCAGCTTCAGCTTCTTCTTCCAGCAGCTGAAACAAGGGATCCCTCTTCTTCCACCAAGGCTTCTGCCTCTGATACAGAGCAACAGCCTCAATTTGGAAGTGGGAAGAGTCTAGGTGAACCTCTCGGCGCCTTGGTTCAGTGATAGGGGGAGCCCGATCAGTTACGACTCGTTCTCGGCTGACGCCAAGGCGAGCGTAATCAATGCCGACGTTGGTCTCGTCCCGTTCTGAAAAAGAAAAGGGGAGAAGTCAATTCAGTTAGTTCGGCACATCACAAGAAAGCAAAATGAAAGAAGAAAAGAGATAATTAAAAGGCCTCGGCCCCAACCGAAGAAGATTACCATCCCTAAACTTTCGGCTGAGGCCGACAGCTGCCAGCATATTCTCTTGGAAAACATAGTGCGTATCGGGGAGCCAAGTCTCCGGGATATGCTGCATTCGGCCGCTGCCTCCCCGGTTCGGCAGCTTGCCGAAGATGTTCTGCTGATTAAGGTTCGGGTCTGGCCCGCTATCTTCGGGAGGACCTAAACTTCCCATATCAGGATCCGGCTCGGCAAGATACCGGGGAGCGCTGAAAACATAAGGATGGCTCGGCTCCGTGGGCGCCCTAACCCAAATCCATTGACCTCTCCAGTCCTTGTCTGAAGAGTCGTTCGGCCACATGGTTAGGAACGGGGGCCGAGACTCAATCCGATACCACCCAGAACCATGGCTTCCGTGCCCACTCTGAATATTTGGCACTAGCCGATGGAGCTTTCTGAAGCAGTGCAGGTTCGGCACGTATCTGAAGAATTTGCAGACCCATAAGTACGTCATTACCCTTCGGATGCTGGTGGGGGTCAGCTGGCACAGGGAAATGTTGTAATGGATCAGCAAGTCTCGGACGAATACGTCCAAAGGGAACCTCAGCCCATACTGAAGCTGTCTCGTGTACACCCCCACATACCCCGGGGGTGGACGATGGATTCTATCGGATGCCGAGGGCATTCGGCACCAATATCCATCAGCTTCAAAAATGCCGTAGTGCAACTCAATTTGCTCAGCAAATCGATATTGATCGGCGTTCTCTACCCACCATGAGTAGGGACGGTTCTTTATCATGGCCGAAGCTACTTCGGCATCCTCCCACTCTGAAAACCCTGGGAGGATATCCCAAAGGACAGCGGGAACAGTTCATCCGAAACAGTTCTTAATTTTTTTTATTTTTCATATGTATGCAGGCTAATGCAGCTATAGATGTACACCAGACAACAATAGTTAGCATAACACGCATTATTCTGAGAGAGTCCATAGAGAGGTTATGAGAGATTATGAGTTCAGAGAAAAATGCCAATATTTTCATGCAAAATGTATACACAACAAGATAATACAATACATTACCAGCAAATTTATACATTTAGCACAGCAGAAATTGGCACTAACCAAAAGATCAGGTGTATCAAACCCAAACAGGGTCCACATGTCAAAGTGATCAGTTTGTATAACTATAGCAAAGTGCATTTGTATTTTAACCGGTAGAAAAACTCAAAAGACATTTCGAGGAGACCAATTGGAATAGTTTCTTTTGTCTATAAAAATTTAGTTATCTGGGTAAAAGTAGGAGTATCCAGTATATAATATTAGGAAAGGAAAGCAAATTCCGTAGATAATTCACCTGTCAAACACATCCTATAGCTCTGACTTGACTAAAATGAGCCCAGGAATATTTCCCACAACAAAAGAAATGAACAACACAAAACAAACCAAAATTGAAGCCAAATAAAAAGAACCAGAATCATATAAAGTGAAGCAATTCAAGACTTACATTGTAGTCCCCAACATAATCTTGTAGATTTCCGTCCTTCACCTCAATCACTCTGTTAACTATTTGATGAACAAGATACCGATCATGGGAAACTGTAATGACAGTACCTTCATACTCTTGTATAGCTTCCTGGAAAGCAATAAAATTAAGAATTAATAACTGCTTATACAAAGACTACTACTATTATAAGAGTTTTTAACATGAAATAGATCGCTAACCTCAAGCATCTCCTTTGTAGGTATATCCAAGTGATTGGTAGGTTCATTGAGAACCAGTAAAGTTGACTTTTTCACCATGAATTTACAGAACGCCAAGCGAGTCTGAAGAAGCAGAAAATGATGTGGTAAGCCTTCCAATGACATTGGAAGAGATTGAGTAAAACACTCAGGCAGAGCTGAGGATTAGTATTTTGACAATACTACCTTCTCTCCACCACTCAGAAAGGAGACCTTCCTATCAAGCATATCTTTTATAGTGCTAAAAGGATAAAAACCTAAATGCACAAGAAAGGAATTCTTAAACTAGGTCCTGGTAGTGGTAATATACCTGATTCTGCTCAAAATAATTTGGGATGACATTTTGCTCCCCTAATATAAACTTCACCAGCAGTAGATTTCTCCAAACCCATAATTTATTTTAACAAAGTGCTTTTCCCACACCCATTGGGACCAATTGTAGCAATTTTTGATTCATTATAGATATATGGTGATCAAGATTTTATTAAGTATTTTTTATTCATTATACAGATTATGACATATGTCTAGTTTTGAAAAACAAAAAACCAACAAACAGAAAATTACAGTAATATTGACCAAACCAATAATGGATTCATCTTTAATGTGATTACGAGATATTTTATTCTCTACTAGTGATGTTTAAAGGTTCTTAATATTATACCTAGTAAATCAATACATCTTGAAAGGACAGATGTACATAATTTATGCCTATTTAACAACTAGACATTTGAGAAACTCTTTGGTTGACCAAAAACATGTTTTTTCTTATATATATATATATATATATATATATATATATATATACTGCCTCCATTTGTTATATTTAGTACTGCAAAACAGAAATTCTATGCTTTAAACCTTACCAAAACAGAAGTGAAAAACAATCAGTCCAAATTAGAATGCTATACAAACACAATTCAGTAGGAAAAGCCTAGTAAAATATACTGATATACTGTTGATGCCTCATTTTTCATGCCATTTGTATGTCCAATCATATTCTAATTAGCAAATAAACAAACTAAAATCTGCTAACAAGTCAAGTCTGTGAACAAGCATATCACAACTCTACAAACTTTGCTATATCTTAGAGCTCCAATGAGATTGGGCGACGTTCTTATAAACCGGGCTGTATCTTTTATATTGCAGCTTAACCAGCTTAAATTTATCTAACCCGCATTATCATAAGCTTATTGATGGCTTAATTGATGAGTTTATAAAAATGAAGTCGGTGGATGAGTTACTTAAAGTTGATGCAAGTACTTCATCAAAGTCTACCCTACAAGATGGTGGAGATGGTGGAGGTGGTGGAGATGGTGGTGGCAGAGGTGGTTCAGTCAGAAGAACGAATAAAAGTTTGTGTTCTTTGGACTATGGTGAAATTGGTGGTCAGAGTGTAGTGTTTGTTACGCCATTTATGAAAAGTAATTCTCGTGCTTTTAGTGAAAAATTACCTCGATTATATTTAGAAGCTCTTGATTATTGTCTGGTGGAACACTTATTTAATAATAAGTAAGTTCTTTTTTAATTGTCATATTTTTTGAAACCTTTTTTTTTTCTTTTTCTTTTTGTTTTGATATTAATAATATTGTTTGACCTTGCAGTGAGAATCTTGTTACTTATGGATTGCATTTTCTCTTTCCAAGAGAGGATATGGTGTCTTTGGTGCATCCTAATTTGGTTCGTTGGTCAGTAGTTGATTGCTACTGCATTTATCTAAATGAATCATGTTTTTATGATACTTGTGGTCCTAAAATATTCTTTTTTGGTGCGAGGCAAAGTGTAAGCAACTTTCTGCTTTGAGTTATTTGTTTTCTTACTCTTTTCAATTATTTATTTTTTCCTTTTAGTTTGCTTTTTTGCAAGTATCAGAGGGGAACGAAGATAGTTCTGCTAGTTATGCTGTCTCGGATTTGCATGAAATTTGGGATGAATGGGTTACATATGAAAATTCTTGTTGTGATGTTATTGGTGCAGACTTGGTATATATCTTAATTTTTAATATATATTAACTGTGTGATGGATGTGCTTTATGCTAACTTTTGTTCTATTTTTTTTTCAGGTTTATTTTCCTATTCTTGTTGATGAACATTATGTGATGTTTGTGATTTATCATGGCAATGAATTGGTTCATTATGTTGATAATATCATTTGGAGTCATGACATGATTACATATTTTCAAAATTTGACTTTTTATCTGGTATGTTATTGTCTATTTTAAAGTATGTTTCTATATTAATCTTATTTTTTTTGTTGTTTTTAATATTTTTTTTTTTTTCAGTGTTCTGAATTTGGTGATTTTCTTGCACGAAGAAATCATCCAAAGAGTGAAAAAGTCCCTTTTTACAAGTTTAAAATTGCTGATTTAGTGTGGCGGAAGAGTAAGGTTGATAATAATGACTGTGGTGTGTATATGATGTGTCATATGGAGCATTTTGTTGGTGATACATCGTTTTCTGTAGATGAACTTAGAACAATGAGTGATCTTGAAACTGATGCGAATTAATTCATTTGTTATGTTTATTCTAATGTTTTATACATATTAATGCGCCTTTTATTTTCTTGTTGTGAGGCTGCTGGGAGGAAATTTTTACGTGCTAAGATTTGTGCAAAACTCGTGTTGTCTGACATGAACGAATCAAGATCTGATGTCTTAGCAGAAGTTGAAAAATTTAATGAGAAGAAGAGCGATCTTGCATATGTTGCTGAAATTGAAGGAAGGAGGAAGGCTGCAGCAGCGGAGAAGAAAAAGAAGAAATCTGAAACTGCTCCTCCTACTGTTGACACTGCTCCGAAATCAAAACGAACTACAAAGGCTACACGGAAGTACACTCCTTCTAAATCTTAGCTAATTTTGGAAGTTGTTATTAGTTAAGTACTTTTGGAAGTTGTAATTAGTTAAGTACTTTTGGAAGTTGAAACTAGTGATAAATATCGACACTTAAACTAGTGTTAATATTTTCAAAATGTTTGTACAAATTTTATTTTATATATATATATATATATATATGATTAAATATTGGTAATTTGTTGTTCTTATTTTTATTTATTTATATTTCTGATTATAATTTTATAAGTGTATCATATATCATCATACAGAGATATAGTTTATTTAAATGAAAACTTGAAGTTTAACATATATATTACCATATTATTAATTTTAAAAACGGACACTTTTGTGATAATTATTGTCACTTTTGTGAATATAAATATCACTTTTGTGAGTGACATATTTCTTTTGTGAATATGCAATACTTTTGTGAGTAAAAAGTAACACTTTTGTGAGAAGATGCATCACTTTTGTGAGCATTATTGTTACTTTTGCGAGTATTAGTGTTACTTTTCTGTAAATGCATCACTTTTGTAGGTGTTAGTGTCACTTTTGTTAGTAAATTCATCACTTTTGCCAGTATATGCATCACTTTTTCCAGTATATGCATTACTTTTTTAAGTATCAGTGTAATATTATATAAATGTTCATAATTCATGAGCAATTCCATATCACAATTCAAAATTCTGTATGAAAGTCAATAGTAGCATTAAACAAAAATAAAATCACTACAAAAAAGTATTCAATTGTGTTTCATCCAAACTCACTACAAGTTCAAAAAAGTCGCACAGTAGGTGTCTTCGATCCAAACTCTGAATTTGGATTTGGTAATGCTTTTTGCTTTGATTTCTTCCCTTTTTCAAGTGCTCCTTTTGCTCTCTTGCTTCTTCCCTTTGTTACAGCTCTCTTAGGGTCTAATATAGTGGGTATGGTTGTACTTGTTGATGAAGAAGCAGTATTATTGGTACTCTGAGCACTCTCTGCCACATTAGAATTGTCATCACTTGCAGCAACCTCCTCTGTAAAAGCTTCGGCCGCAAGTAAGTCTTCCACCATTTTCATACAGTTTTTGAAGTTTTCCTCCATGAATGCTCTTGCCTTTTCATTTTCTTGACTCTTTAAGATTAAGTTATAATATTTTCTCATCATTGTATGTCTCCATGGTGTATATGGGAGTTTTGGATCCTTATTTTCCATTTTATTCCATACTTCAGTTTTTGCAAGCTTTGTCCATCTTTTGCTAATGTACTTCTCTGGAATTCTTGTAATAGAATGTAGATGTAAAATTCTGAGGCAGTGATAGCATAGCCAACCAGAAGCTTCGAAATTCTTGCAAGTGCACCATATAGTTTGGCTCTCATGTATGTAACTTACGTGTTGGGAAGACCATGGCTTTTCTTCTAGCGATACTTCATAAAGAATAATGTTTTCTTCAGTTCTCCCTAGAATTTGTACTGTGGTCGCTATTGAGTAGCCAAATTCCTCTTCAAAGTCTCTAAATAGAGACAATGTGTAAACCTGCACATTAGAGAAATAATTTAGTACAGAGGTATATAATACAAGTAACTTCTGTATTAATAAAGGTAACATTTGTAATGATATTAGTAACTTTTGTACCAAGAGACATGCATAAATGCTTTTATAAATAAACATATAGTCAATGTAATTTTTGCCATAATATATGTAACTTTTGCCTTAATATATGTCACATTTATAGAATTTTACCTTCGTCTTCATCTACTGGTTGTCCTTCTTCATCTAGTGTGTTCGGAATAACTTGATCTTCATCTTCTAATGTATTTGAAACACCTTGATTTTCAATATCTGCATTAATTATTGAAAATTAAATCAAAATTTTAAGCAAAAACAAACAATAGGTTAGTATTTTTTTAGATTATTACCTTGTATTTGAATTTCTGGAACTTTTGAGTTTTGAATGTTATCATCATTAAATTCATCGAAATCATCAACGAAATTCTCTGCTTCACCTTCTCTGAATGTTTGATTGAGGTCGAAACTCCATGTTTTCTCTGGATGTTGCGTTAATGGTGGTCGATTTTCTCTTTGTAATTGCAGAAATTCGCGCATTAGGTTTTTGTAATTGGAAGCTTTGGAGGTTTCCGGCATTGTTGATCGAAAATTGTAGATTTCTCTCTCCTCCATGGTTGCTTGGTGAAGGAGCTTTGAATCTGGAAAATTGGAGTTTTCTCTCTCCTCCATTGTAGCTTGCTGAAGAAGATGTTAGTTATTTTGGAAAAAGGAAAAAAAAAAAAAAATACTGTTCACACGTGCGAAAAAACCGGTTGTTCAGTATTTTACTGCACATCGGTTGTATGTAAAACTTTTTGTACAATCAATTAGTCAAACCAACTAATATGATCAACTTCGGCTATCAGCTACCGGGGCCAACATGAGTAATATCTAATTCTAGCTACAACTTCTCCAATAGATAGAATTCATAGAAACATGCTTTTTGTAATTTTGTAGGCCCTGCTTATCATCAACATATCATCACCAAACTCTTTTTTAGGGGCCAAAAGCCCAAGTAGAGCTTCAACCAACACCATTTTTTCAATGTTCAAAGCCAGTTTATATTTTAAGTCCAACACCATTGGTGTGGCTTGCTTTTCCTTCCTTTGATGAAGGATATGATTGTATACATGGTGAGCTAAATGCTCAAATGTTGAAAACATCACTATGGAACCTGTGAAGGAGGCAGATTAAGCAAATTAATCAATCATCTCAAAATAGTTCATAAAATTTGATAAGCATAAATTTGGGAAATGATCAGAAAAAAAGATCCCCAAATTCTTATAAATACAAATATTCTTTACCCACAAATTGAGAATATTATAGGTGTAGATTTTACCCTTTCAGTTATTTTTAACCTTTTAAACCCATGAAAGCACCACTGCCTTCATAAAAGAGTCCATTGGTTTATTCTCAGAATATAGTACAAAAAGAGCTTGTAATCTAACAAAAAACAAAGCCAATAACCCAATTTCCCTCTCCTTCAGTCACCTTAACATCTCACCATGTTCGTATGCCTAGTGAGCATATTCAACCTTATCTACCACCAGATACTTCTATAATGCTTGTAATTTGCTAACATACGCACATCATCATCATCATCAATCATCATGTCAACTACATTCATTTTGAAGCTATCCATTTCCTATGTTATAGTTCTGTAAAAAAAAAATGAAAATTAAAAATAAATCCTTCATTGATGTAGATCAGATAATACTAAAGTGATTGCAATTTGAACTTGATACTTGGGCACAACTCAAAAAGAGGTCATGCTGTTGGTGTTAATTTCTTTGGGGTTTGGTTACTTTTTGAGAATAACAGAAATCAGCCGAACAATGACACTACTTCAACTAATTCTGTAAAATAAAACCCTAATCACTCACAACACTTAATTCTAACTACCGCCAATCATCAATTCTTAAATACTTCGTAAACAAAAAATTGAAAAAAAAAAAAAAAGAAGAAGAAGAAAACGCAGCATTAAGCAAACAAACGATTGATAGAAAAACAACAATCCAATCCGATCAAATAAACAAGCAATAATGAAATGCAAAAGTCAAACGATAAATAAAAAAAAAAGGAACAAAATGCAGAAAATATAAGTAAAATTACCTGATTGAACACAGAGTATGTCAATAATTTTGCTGCACTGTGACTAAATAAACCTAGCCTGGGCATTGGAGGCTAGGGACTACTATTTTATCCTAGCTATCTGACATAGGGATAGCAGATGCATGTCACTGCCATTGGAATCGCCAATCCATGGCTCAAAGAAGTACTCAAAACAAATCTTGCTGCTATAGATCGTAGTGTCCAAGACAGATTCTAGCACCTCCAAGCACCTAAGAGTCCAAGACAAACTCTAGCAGCTAACTATACTCTTCCATTCTGTCAAATATGATTACTTATCATGGCTTATATAGTAAGATATAGCTCCATTACTATTCATAGGCTAATAAGAAAACATATGCAACTCGTAGGCAGATACCAAGTAAACACACACAAATTGATACAATAGGTCAATCCACATCTGCTTCCATGAGCACCATTCAAGTAAAAGCAAGCCCAAAAAGAAGTAAAATCAAATGTTCGAAATCACAGATGTTAATGCTTTTTCCTACAATCAATCAAAAGTTACACATTAAATATAAGACTTACTAATCCACATCTCACTCACAATATCTGTGTACACATCTCTGTCACAGCTGATCATATATAATTTATTCATTGCTACTTCCACCTTTGATCCTAACTATTGCTCACTCAGTTCTCCAAAAACTTTTTAGCAAATCTTTGTCTGCATCACCGATATTTGGATCAGCGAGTAAGCCCACAAATGATGATATTGTGTGATTATCAGCAACAAACTCTTTGATTCTCATCAACCTGACAAGCTCTAATGCTCTCCTAATGTCCTTTCCATCAATAAATCCTCTAATAAGTGTATTAAAGGTGCATTCATCTGGAAAGCATCCATTGTCCTCCATATTCTTCAGTAATTCATCGGCTTTTGCTAGCAACCCTTCTTTACAAAACCCTTTTATCATTATGTTGTAAGCACACACATTATGCAGTCCTTTAGCTGTGAGAAAGGAGAAGATGTCCACCGCTTCTCTAAGCCGATTAGCTTCACAGAAACCATCCATTAGGATATTGTATGTAATAATATCAGGGATCACTATATCAGTTCCATATAACTGGAAGTTGGGAATTGCAGCTTAACCAGTTCCATATATCTCTAAACCTGGAGTGTTTCACACCTTTTGCTTTTTGTTTTTTTTCAGAATGGAAAAAAGAGAAGAAATTAACAAATGTCAACCAGGTTATATGATTTGATTCTGGGCTTAAAACTATGTTATGTAACCAAAACACGAGTTCAGTTAAGCAAGATCCAAGTGCCTGGAAGAAGAAAAATCTTCAACGACAGAGACTTCAAAGGTTGGTTATCTACAGAAAGCTAAAACACACCCCAAGAAATTCAATCAACACGTCTCCAATGAACCGATCAAAACTTTGTAGAGCCTAAGAGCCCTATGTACAAGAGTTGCATTGTATACACTATACAGCATTACAGCATGTGTGGTTATGCCTAATCAAGTAAAATGGTAAATTTGACCCCTATGCAAAGTAAGCACAACTGCTGTTTACAACCATTGGATAAGATATAGCACAACTAATGCGACTCACAGGCAGATGGCAAGCAAACAATTGGATACAAAATTTACAGGTTATGTTCCAGATTACAGGAGTTAAGGTTTTTGCCTACAGTCTATCAGAACACATTAAATATATGACTTACCAATTTATAATGTTCACTCATAATGTCTATTTTCACATCTCTTTCACAGCTGATCATCTATGCTTAACTCATTGCTCCTTCCACCTCCGCTTTAACCATTGCTCGCTCAGTTTTCCAAAAACTTTTTCAATAATTCCTTGTCTACATCATCAATATTTGGATCATTAAGTAAGCTCACAAATGACGATATAGTGTGATTATCAGCAGCAAACTCTTTGTTTCTCATTAAGCTGACAAGCTCTAAAGCTCTCCTCACATCCTTTTCATCTATAAATCCTCTTATAATTGTATTGAAGGTGCATTCATTTGGAAAGCATTTATTGTCCTCCATATTCTTCAATAATTCATCGGCTTTTGCTAGCAACCCTTCTTTACAAAACCCTTTTATCATTATGGTGTAAGCACGCACATTATGCAGCCCTTTAGTTATGAGAAAAGAGAATATATCCTCTGCTTCTCTAAGCCGATTAGCTTCACAGAAACCATCCATTAGGATACTGTATGTAATAATATCAGGGATCACTCCAGTATTCCCCATTTGCTTCACTGTTGTAATTGCCTCGTCAATTTGTCCATTCTTACACATGCCATCAAGGAATGAATTCCAAGCTATTATATCTGGTTTCAGTCCATGAGCTTTCATATCCTCAAAAAAACTGGTGTGCAAGCTTGATTTGATTGTCTTTGCACAAAGCATCTATAAGAGTGCTGTACGTGATAACATCAGGGGTTAATCCGTTAGAATGCATCTCTTGGAGCAGACCAAGAGCTTTGTCAATGTTTTTAGATTTGCAATAGCCATTGAGTAAGCTGTTGTAAGTAACTACATCAGGTTTGCAACCATCTTTTACCATCACATCCATAAGCTTTTCTGCCTCGTCCATCTCACCACGTAAACAATATCCGTCTAACAGAGCGTTGTAAGTGATGATATCTGGAACCAATCCTATCCTAGTCATGAAATAAAAAATGTCCCGTGCTTCACCAACCTTGCCATCTTTACAATAAATATCAATAAATATGTTGTAGGTCTGTATGTCAGGAGTTATGTTATTCCTTAACATCTCAGTCAGCATATCTTGAGCCTCTTTCTGTTGTCCCAAAGTGCACATACCTCGAATTAAGGTATTAAAGGTGACAACATCAGGGGAAATTCCCTTGACTTTCATCTCCTTGAAAAGGCGGAGAGCCTGAGGTAATAACTGGTCTTTACAGAGACTATCAATGATGGTGTTGTAAATGACAACATTAGGCATAAAATGGCCATAAGACTCCATATTTCTGAGGAGTTTGAGAGCACCGGCATTATCACCGGACCTACAGAGACCTTTGAAGATAGAACCATAGGTGATTAATGTGGGTTGGTAGCCAAGCTTGACAACTTTATCCAACAATTGAACGGCTTTGTCCAAGTGATGAGTATGAACGAAGCCGTTGATGAGAGTAGTAAAGGTGACAATGTTAGGTTGAAAACCAAGTTTAATAATGTTGGCGAGAACAGAGAAGCCGAAATCAACAAAGTTCAAACGACAGTAGCAATTAGCAAGGATGGTAAGGGAGTAAATATCTGGACGAAGACCTAAGAAAAGGAGGTCTCTGTAAAGAGAAATGACAGTGGAGAAAGGTGGGTTGGGTTTAATCTTGGACATGGCACTCAATAACATACAGAAATCAATGATAGATGGAAGAGGTCTCATCGATATCATATGGTGGAAATGGGAAAGGGAGATTTCAACATTAGTAAACCCTAATTTGGATTGTTGTCTAACAAATTTCAGAAACAATTTGGGATCATCGTCATCAGAATCAAAGTCATGAGTAGCGTAATTGGTGTAATATCGGCAAGGAAACAGGTGAAAAGAGGGCGAATTGAAGAGGGGAATACTGAAATCGAAAAAAGGGAAAGTAGTATAGAAATGGAGAAACTTACTTGAGGAGATGCCATGAAAATGAAGAGGACGAAGGTTGATTAAAGTGGCGCCATGAAAACAAGGACGAAGAAAAGCTTCTGCAACATTAACAGATCGAGACCTCATCATATTCATGTATACTCTGTAAATCTGGAAACAATTACAGTATGAAGAAGAAAAGCTTGTATAGTCCTTACAAAGCCACGAAGGTCAAGTAGAATGTTGGAATTATTCCCAATTGGTGTACCAACTACTCTCTCCCTCCCTTTTGCCCCGCTGTTATTTTTGGGGTCAAATTTAGAAAACTTTGAACATAAATTACAGTTAATCTATAAAAAATAGAGTAATATAGTCATGACTCATGAGTGGTTTGGTAAGATTCGATTAATTGTATATTTTGTTAACACGACCTTTTTTTTATAAATTTTACGTGTATAAAAACAAAGACATAGACGTTTTAATACGTGTGTTGGAGACCGTGTATAGTCAAATGGGTCAAAAAAATATATTGGAAAACAACTAAACTTAAGGTGAAAATAGGGCTAATCAGGCTTAATCATGTCAAATAATTCAAGTAAAAGCTCTAATCTTATGAAGCTGAGCTCCCTGCGGCTGCTCATAATGCTTAGTTATAATGGTGCTAGGTTCTCTTCGGCAAGGCTGCTTTAATCTTTTGGACAAATATGATTGATTTAGGAAATTTTGTCTAGAACTACCCTAAAGATAGGGTCATTTGTGAACAACTATCTATTTTTTTTTTTTTATTTGTTTAGAACTACCCACAAGTTACAAAACGTTTGGGTAACACTACCCATTAACGTTTTCCGTCCAATTAAGACGTTATTGGGCCCACTTTTTCACTTTTCCCACTTAATTAACTCCCCTAATTATCTTCTCTCTTCTCCCTAATTAACTTCCTCTCCATTCTCACTCTATAATCCAAAAGATTATACTCAATCAATTGAACACAAATTCTCAATTATTCAAGTAATGTTTCACACTTTCCTTTTAATTTATTGTTTATTGTATTTGTATACAAGTTTTAATTGAACGCAATTAACATAATTAGGGTGTAAATTAGGGATTCGAATTAGGGTTTATGGGTCCAAATAAATTTGGGGATTTTGATTTCTAGGATTTAGGGGTTTAATTGAGTTCTAGGTTTCACTTATTTTGACTTTGAGATTGAATTCAATTGCACTTCAATTACTAATTGGCCATTGTAATTGATAGGATGTCTAAATTTGGCGGTTTTAATTTCTAGGGTTTAGGGGAAGTTAATTAGGGAAGAGGGAGAAGGTAATTAGGGGAAGTTAATTAGGAAAGAGGGAGAAGGTAATTAGGGAAAGTTAATTAAGGAAGAGAGAGAAGGTAATTAGGGGAGTTAATTAAGTGGAAAAAGTGAAAAAGTGGACCCCATTAACGTATTTTTGGACGGAAAACGTTAATGGGTAGTGTTATCCAAGCTTTTCTTAACTTTTGGGTAGTTCTTAACAAATAAAAAAAAAACGGGTAGTTGTTCACAAATGACCCTATCTCACAAATGACCCTATCTTTAGGGTAGTTATAGAAAAAATTTCCATTGGTTTAAGTAGGCCTAGGTTCGGTTTTATAACTAAGAACTGTCTCACTAATACTTGATAAATCACATTTATATAGGATTTATAGGCACGTTTATGCTAAGTTTATAGTTGCTTTTTAGGTCTTTTAGTCGCTTTTTAGGTCGTAAATACATAAGTTGTTTGTTTTTTACTCTATTACGTTCCGTTTGTGTTTTTCTTAATGTTTCAGGTGATTTGATAGACATTTGGACGCTTTCGTAGTGTTTGGAGTTGATTCGGATGATATTTGGATGGAAGCCGATGAATTGAGTTTATTAATTGGAGATCCCATGTTTGTGGATGTTGATTGATTTATATGCATGAGGAATGGATATATCATTCACAAGGGTCGATTTGCATCTTTCGGAAATGAATTTGAGTTAGAAACGAAGTTAAACGATGTTTTATAAAGTGGCAAGACTGACCTTTGTCCACTCTTTTGATCATAACTTGAGTTCTACAAATCGGATTGATGTGATTCAAATTACGTTGGAAACTAGACTTAAAGATATTTCCAATGATAGGTCACACGCCCCAAGAAGCCTTATAGAACAGAAGTTATAGGCATTTGAATCTAAGTGATGCTGTCAGCCACCCGCGGGATAATTGCTGCGCCCCTGTCCCGCGACCACTCGACACCAGCAGGTGCTGCTGCCAGGCCGCGGCCACCAGCCTGCGCCCGCAGGTCTGGTCGAGCAGCCTTGAAGCCTCGAGTAGCTTTTTCATTCACATCGTCACAAGTCTTCGGGCCACGTCATCTTCTATCGTCCACTAATAATTCAACTTATGTAATTTATATTTTCTTACTTCTTTTCTTTAATTATTTTTAGATTAGTTTTAGGATAATATAAATACTCAAGGGATATTATTTTTCCCGCCTTTTATTATTTTTTATTTTACGTTCTTTTTAGTTTTCTCTCTTAAACCCTAGTTTCTCATGGCATTTCCATGGATTCTTCCATGGATGATTCTTGGGTATACTATTTTAATTCATTGAGGTATTTTATTTCTATTTTCTTGCTTTTAATTATGTTTTATTCCTTAGATCTAGTTTTTATTATTTCTTCCATGTTTGAGTAGTTTTATTTCTAGGGTTTGGGAATCCATGTTTATACTATGAATCTTGATTGATGTTTTTAATATTTTGATTATTAATTTCTCTAATTGATAGAGTTTTATTGTTAATCTTGCAACCTGATCAATTGTTTGATTAATTCATGTTAATAAGAGTTTGAATCGAAAGATCTTACTTTTAGAGACTTCCCTACAATTAGCAATTCTGATTATGTTAGTGACCGTACTGCATATGTTGAATTGAGAGCGTTAAGACCCGACCGTAGGCTTAGCAATTGCTCTAGATAATTGATTGATTGAATTTTTATTGATATTTGATAGATTTAGAGCTATAAACATGGTGAACCATAACCCTATGTCTTTTTATTAATTATTTTATCCCTCTTTTAATTTAGACTACTTTTCTATCCGAATTTCGTGACATAGGTTAGTTTTTCCAATTTCTTAGAGGTTAGATTAATACCATCTCCCTGTGGATTCGACCCTACTTACTCTACTACATTGTTAGTTGGTTTTGTTAGGAATTTATTTTTGACAGGTGTACGACAACCTATCAATACTAGCTTTCTTTTGCTCATCACCAAATTTTGTTTTAACTCAAAGTGATGTTTGTAATTAATCAAACATGGCATTAGCCTATTAATATAAATATCTTTCTGTTTGTGTATATTAAAAAAGAAAAAAAAAAGAAAAAAAAAAAAAGCTCTAGTTATAGATTATTAATTGAAAAGTATTATAATAATAAATTAGCTGAGGAATAATAAAAGAGTGTGATATGTTGATATTTGCATTCTTTAATTGTAGCTTCTAAAATAAAATTAGCCAAAAAAAACATGAGCTATATTTTTTGTCACAAATAATTTTTGGTTTATATTTGTCCAAATTTCTTTTGGAAACATTTATGAAATCTTTTTATTTAAACATATAATAATTACTACGTATTGATATGGAATATGTTTACAAAATAATACAAGTATTAGTTTTGTACTGTAATTAATTTATTTCCTCAATTAATACATTTTTCTTAAAAAAATAAAAATAAAAGCATGTCAAAACCTTGACTTTCTTCCCAAAACCAACCTTAAAAGTTTCAAATAACCAGCAAAAAAATGAGTATCAAACTGTTAAAGAAGCTCATTAGTTTATTACTATCATCTGATTTGAACAGGCTCTTCAAATCTAGACATTCAGCGACATAAACAATAGTATTAGAATACAATACCCACATGTTTGACTGAGTGTGAGGAGGGATCCAAAAAGAACACATAATTAAGGGGCTATTAAATTGCTATTTACAAAATCTATAGACTGTTTGCTCAAGTTCTAAGCTAAGTATGCAGAAAACTGAAATAAAGCTTCGCTATATATATTCCCATTACAGCTTCACGAGTTATTTCTTTTCGAATCACAAAACAAAGACCCCTAGGAACATATTTACCATCAATTTAAAGCTATGTACACGATCAAGATTGATACCCTTTTTTATACCCCTTAACAAAAGTGATCACAATGAGGGTATCTTCATTAAAAATACTGAGGATACCATCTCAATTCCATCTCTTCGCGTTCTTTAACCCCTTAGATTTTGCTTTTGCTTTTGCCTGCTGAGAAGCCAACATTTTCTGTTTCTTCCGAGCCTCCTTCTCAGCCTGTTGAACAGATATCAGTCTCTGGCAAAGGAAAATAATTTAAGACATACTTCGTTAATCACCAGCTTAATATTTCCTTGGACATCTTTGATTTTGCTTTTACTTTGGAATTCTTCTCTTCAAGCTCTGCCTCACAATCCAATTCTCTTTGTCTTGCATCGAGATTCTTCTATAAATAATACTGCATATGCCATCAACTATATTCTTAGAAGCCTTACAAATCTCTGAAATAGTTAGGTCTACAACATCAATATTTAAAACACCATTTAAAAGGCTCCAATGCCCTCACTTTTACAGTTTTCCCCTTCTCGTTCTTTCATATGAGCAAAAGGATAAATTTTTTGGTTAATTAGTCACCGTTCTTAATTTTTTTTATTTTTCATATGTATGCAGGCTAATGCAGCTATAGATGTACACCAGACAACAATAGTTAGCATAACACGCATTATTCTGAGAGAGTCCATAGAGAGGTTATGAGAGATTATGAGTTCAGAGAAAAATGCCAATATTTTCATGCAAAATGTATACACAACAAGATAATACAATACATTACCAGCAAATTTATACATTTAGCACAGCAGAAATTGGCACTAACCAAAAGATCAGGTGTATCAAACCCAAACAGGGTCCACATGTCAAAGTGATCAGTTTGTATAACTATAGCAAAGTGCATTTGTATTTTAACCGGTAGAAAAACTCAAAAGACATTTCGAGGAGACCAATTGGAATAGTTTCTTTTGTCTATAAAAATTTAGTTATCTGGGTAAAAGTAGGAGTATCCAGTATATAATATTAGGAAAGGAAAGCAAATTCCGTAGATAATTCACCTGTCAAACACATCCTATAGCTCTGACTTGACTAAAATGAGCCCAGGAATATTTCCCACAACAAAAGAAATGAACAACACAAAACAAACCAAAATTGAAGCCAAATAAAAAGAACCAGAATCATATAAAGTGAAGCAATTCAAGACTTACATTGTAGTCCCCAACATAATCTTGTAGATTTCCGTCCTTCACCTCAATCACTCTGTTAACTATTTGATGAACAAGATACCGATCATGGGAAACTGTAATGACAGTACCTTCATACTCTTGTATAGCTTCCTGGAAAGCAATAAAATTAAGAATTAATAACTGCTTATACAAAGACTACTACTATTATAAGAGTTTTTAACATGAAATAGATCGCTAACCTCAAGCATCTCCTTTGTAGGTATATCCAAGTGATTGGTAGGTTCATTGAGAACCAGTAAAGTTGACTTTTTCACCATGAATTTACAGAACGCCAAGCGAGTCTGAAGAAGCAGAAAATGATGTGGTAAGCCTTCCAATGACATTGGAAGAGATTGAGTAAAACACTCAGGCAGAGCTGAGGATTAGTATTTTGACAATACTACCTTCTCTCCACCACTCAGAAAGGAGACCTTCCTATCAAGCATATCTTTTATAGTGCTAAAAGGATAAAAACCTAAATGCACAAGAAAGGAATTCTTAAACTAGGTCCTGGTAGTGGTAATATACCTGATTCTGCTCAAAATAATTTGGGATGACATTTTGCTCCCCTAATATAAACTTCACCAGCAGTAGATTTCTCCAAACCCATAATTTATTTTAACAAAGTGCTTTTCCCACACCCATTGGGACCAATTGTAGCAATTTTTGATTCATTATAGATATATGGTGATCAAGATTTTATTAAGTATTTTTTATTCATTATACAGATTATGACATATGTCTAGTTTTGAAAAACAAAAAACCAACAAACAGAAAATTACAGTAATATTGACCAAACCAATAATGGATTCATCTTTAATGTGATTACGAGATATTTTATTCTCTACTAGTGATGTTTAAAGGTTCTTAATATTATACCTAGTAAATCAATACATCTTGAAAGGACAGATGTACATAATTTATGCCTATTTAACAACTAGACATTTGAGAAACTCTTTGGTTGACCAAAAACATGTTTTTTCTTATATATATATATATATATATATATATATATATATATACTGCCTCCATTTGTTATATTTAGTACTGCAAAACAGAAATTCTATGCTTTAAACCTTACCAAAACAGAAGTGAAAAACAATCAGTCCAAATTAGAATGCTATACAAACACAATTCAGTAGGAAAAGCCTAGTAAAATATACTGATATACTGTTGATGCCTCATTTTTCATGCCATTTGTATGTCCAATCATATTCTAATTAGCAAATAAACAAACTAAAATCTGCTAACAAGTCAAGTCTGTGAACAAGCATATCACAACTCTACAAACTTTGCTATATCTTAGAGCTCCAATGAGATTGGGCGACGTTCTTATAAACCGGGCTGTATCTTTTATATTGCAGCTTAACCAGCTTAAATTTATCTAACCCGCATTATCATAAGCTTATTGATGGCTTAATTGATGAGTTTATAAAAATGAAGTCGGTGGATGAGTTACTTAAAGTTGATGCAAGTACTTCATCAAAGTCTACCCTACAAGATGGTGGAGATGGTGGAGGTGGTGGAGATGGTGGTGGCAGAGGTGGTTCAGTCAGAAGAACGAATAAAAGTTTGTGTTCTTTGGACTATGGTGAAATTGGTGGTCAGAGTGTAGTGTTTGTTACGCCATTTATGAAAAGTAATTCTCGTGCTTTTAGTGAAAAATTACCTCGATTATATTTAGAAGCTCTTGATTATTGTCTGGTGGAACACTTATTTAATAATAAGTAAGTTCTTTTTTAATTGTCATATTTTTTGAAACCTTTTTTTTTTCTTTTTCTTTTTGTTTTGATATTAATAATATTGTTTGACCTTGCAGTGAGAATCTTGTTACTTATGGATTGCATTTTCTCTTTCCAAGAGAGGATATGGTGTCTTTGGTGCATCCTAATTTGGTTCGTTGGTCAGTAGTTGATTGCTACTGCATTTATCTAAATGAATCATGTTTTTATGATACTTGTGGTCCTAAAATATTCTTTTTTGGTGCGAGGCAAAGTGTAAGCAACTTTCTGCTTTGAGTTATTTGTTTTCTTACTCTTTTCAATTATTTATTTTTTCCTTTTAGTTTGCTTTTTTGCAAGTATCAGAGGGGAACGAAGATAGTTCTGCTAGTTATGCTGTCTCGGATTTGCATGAAATTTGGGATGAATGGGTTACATATGAAAATTCTTGTTGTGATGTTATTGGTGCAGACTTGGTATATATCTTAATTTTTAATATATATTAACTGTGTGATGGATGTGCTTTATGCTAACTTTTGTTCTATTTTTTTTCAGGTTTATTTTCCTATTCTTGTTGATGAACATTATGTGATGTTTGTGATTTATCATGGCAATGAATTGGTTCATTATGTTGATAATATCATTTGGAGTCATGACATGATTACATATTTTCAAAATTTGACTTTTTATCTGGTATGTTATTGTCTATTTTAAAGTATGTTTCTATATTAATCTTATTTTTTTTGTTGTTTTTAATATATTTTTTTTTTTTCAGTGTTCTGAATTTGGTGATTTTCTTGCACGAAGAAATCATCCAAAGAGTGAAAAAGTCCCTTTTTACAAGTTTAAAATTGCTGATTTAGTGTGGCGGAAGAGTAAGGTTGATAATAATGACTGTGGTGTGTATATGATGTGTCATATGGAGCATTTTGTTGGTGATACATCGTTTTCTGTAGATGAACTTAGAACAATGAGTGATCTTGAAACTGATGCGAATTAATTCATTTGTTATGTTTATTCTAATGTTTTATACATATTAATGCGCCTTTTATTTTCTTGTTGTGAGGCTGCTGGGAGGAAATTTTTACGTGCTAAGATTTGTGCAAAACTCGTGTTGTCTGACATGAACGAATCAAGATCTGATGTCTTAGCAGAAGTTGAAAAATTTAATGAGAAGAAGAGCGATCTTGCATATGTTGCTGAAATTGAAGGAAGGAGGAAGGCTGCAGCAGCGGAGAAGAAAAAGAAGAAATCTGAAACTGCTCCTCCTACTGTTGACACTGCTCCGAAATCAAAACGAACTACAAAGGCTACACGGAAGTACACTCCTTCTAAATCTTAGCTAATTTTGGAAGTTGTTATTAGTTAAGTACTTTTGGAAGTTGTAATTAGTTAAGTACTTTTGGAAGTTGAAACTAGTGATAAATATCGACACTTAAACTAGTGTTAATATTTTCAAAATGTTTGTACAAATTTTATTTTATATATATATATATATATATATGATTAAATATTGGTAATTTGTTGTTCTTATTTTTATTTATTTATATTTCTGATTATAATTTTATAAGTGTATCATATATCATCATACAGAGATATAGTTTATTTAAATGAAAACTTGAAGTTTAACATATATATTACCATATTATTAATTTTAAAAACGGACACTTTTGTGATAATTATTGTCACTTTTGTGAATATAAATATCACTTTTGTGAGTGACATATTTCTTTTGTGAATATGCAATACTTTTGTGAGTAAAAAGTAACACTTTTGTGAGAAGATGCATCACTTTTGTGAGCATTATTGTTACTTTTGCGAGTATTAGTGTTACTTTTCTGTAAATGCATCACTTTTGTAGGTGTTAGTGTCACTTTTGTTAGTAAATTCATCACTTTTGCCAGTATATGCATCACTTTTTCCAGTATATGCATTACTTTTTTAAGTATCAGTGTAATATTATATAAATGTTCATAATTCATGAGCAATTCCATATCACAATTCAAAATTCTGTATGAAAGTCAATAGTAGCATTAAACAAAAATAAAATCACTACAAAAAAGTATTCAATTGTGTTTCATCCAAACTCACTACAAGTTCAAAAAAGTCGCACAGTAGGTGTCTTCGATCCAAACTCTGAATTTGGATTTGGTAATGCTTTTTGCTTTGATTTCTTCCCTTTTTCAAGTGCTCCTTTTGCTCTCTTGCTTCTTCCCTTTGTTACAGCTCTCTTAGGGTCTAATATAGTGGGTATGGTTGTACTTGTTGATGAAGAAGCAGTATTATTGGTACTCTGAGCACTCTCTGCCACATTAGAATTGTCATCACTTGCAGCAACCTCCTCTGTAAAAGCTTCGGCCGCAAGTAAGTCTTCCACCATTTTCATACAGTTTTTGAAGTTTTCCTCCATGAATGCTCTTGCCTTTTCATTTTCTTGACTCTTTAAGATTAAGTTATAATATTTTCTCATCATTGTATGTCTCCATGGTGTATATGGGAGTTTTGGATCCTTATTTTCCATTTTATTCCATACTTCAGTTTTTGCAAGCTTTGTCCATCTTTTGCTAATGTACTTCTCTGGAATTCTTGTAATAGAATGTAGATGTAAAATTCTGAGGCAGTGATAGCATAGCCAACCAGAAGCTTCGAAATTCTTGCAAGTGCACCATATAGTTTGGCTCTCATGTATGTAACTTACGTGTTGGGAAGACCATGGCTTTTCTTCTAGCGATACTTCATAAAGAATAATGTTTTCTTCAGTTCTCCCTAGAATTTGTACTGTGGTCGCTATTGAGTAGCCAAATTCCTCTTCAAAGTCTCTAAATAGAGACAATGTGTAAACCTGCACATTAGAGAAATAATTTAGTACAGAGGTATATAATACAAGTAACTTCTGTATTAATAAAGGTAACATTTGTAATGATATTAGTAACTTTTGTACCAAGAGACATGCATAAATGCTTTTATAAATAAACATATAGTCAATGTAATTTTTGCCATAATATATGTAACTTTTGCCTTAATATATGTCACATTTATAGAATTTTACCTTCGTCTTCATCTACTGGTTGTCCTTCTTCATCTAGTGTGTTCGGAATAACTTGATCTTCATCTTCTAATGTATTTGAAACACCTTGATTTTCAATATCTGCATTAATTATTGAAAATTAAATCAAAATTTTAAGCAAAAACAAACAATAGGTTAGTATTTTTTTAGATTATTACCTTGTATTTGAATTTCTGGAACTTTTGAGTTTTGAATGTTATCATCATTAAATTCATCGAAATCATCAACGAAATTCTCTGCTTCACCTTCTCTGAATGTTTGATTGAGGTCGAAACTCCATGTTTTCTCTGGATGTTGCGTTAATGGTGGTCGATTTTCTCTTTGTAATTGCAGAAATTCGCGCATTAGGTTTTTGTAATTGGAAGCTTTGGAGGTTTCCGGCATTGTTGATCGAAAATTGTAGATTTCTCTCTCCTCCATGGTTGCTTGGTGAAGGAGCTTTGAATCTGGAAAATTGGAGTTTTCTCTCTCCTCCATTGTAGCTTGCTGAAGAAGATGTTAGTTATTTTGGAAAAAGGAAAAAAAAAAAAAAATACTGTTCACACGTGCGAAAAACCGGTTGTTCAGTATTTTACTGCACATCGGTTGTATGTAAAACTTTTTGTACAATCAATTAGTCAAACCAACTAATATGATCAACTTCGGCTATCAGCTACCGGGGCCAACATGAGTAATATCTAATTCTAGCTACAACTTCTCCAATAGATAGAATTCATAGAAACATGCTTTTTGTAATTTTGTAGGCCCTGCTTATCATCAACATATCATCACCAAACTCTTTTTTAGGGGCCAAAAGCCCAAGTAGAGCTTCAACCAACACCATTTTTTCAATGTTCAAAGCCAGTTTATATTTTAAGTCCAACACCATTGGTGTGGCTTGCTTTTCCTTCCTTTGATGAAGGATATGATTGTATACATGGTGAGCTAAATGCTCAAATGTTGAAAACATCACTATGGAACCTGTGAAGGAGGCAGATTAAGCAAATTAATCAATCATCTCAAAATAGTTCATAAAATTTGATAAGCATAAATTTGGGAAATGATCAGAAAAAAAGATCCCCAAATTCTTATAAATACAAATATTCTTTACCCACAAATTGAGAATATTATAGGTGTAGATTTTACCCTTTCAGTTATTTTTAACCTTTTAAACCCATGAAAGCACCACTGCCTTCATAAAAGAGTCCATTGGTTTATTCTCAGAATATAGTACAAAAAGAGCTTGTAATCTAACAAAAAACAAAGCCAATAACCCAATTTCCCTCTCCTTCAGTCACCTTAACATCTCACCATGTTCGTATGCCTAGTGAGCATATTCAACCTTATCTACCACCAGATACTTCTATAATGCTTGTAATTTGCTAACATACGCACATCATCATCATCATCAATCATCATGTCAACTACATTCATTTTGAAGCTATCCATTTCCTATGTTATAGTTCTGTAAAAAAAAAATGAAAATTAAAAATAAATCCTTCATTGATGTAGATCAGATAATACTAAAGTGATTGCAATTTGAACTTGATACTTGGGCACAACTCAAAAAGAGGTCATGCTGTTGGTGTTAATTTCTTTGGGGTTTGGTTACTTTTTGAGAATAACAGAAATCAGCCGAACAATGACACTACTTCAACTAATTCTGTAAAATAAAACCCTAATCACTCACAACACTTAATTCTAACTACCGCCAATCATCAATTCTTAAATACTTCGTAAACAAAAAATTGAAAAAAAAAAAAGAAGAAGAAGAAAACGCAGCATTAAGCAAACAAACGATTGATAGAAAAACAACAATCCAATCCGATCAAATAAACAAGCAATAATGAAATGCAAAAGTCAAACGATAAATAAAAAAAAAAGGAACAAAATGCAGAAAATATAAGTAAAATTACCTGATTGAACACAGAGTATGTCAATAATTTTGCTGCACTGTGACTAAATAAACCTAGCCTGGGCATTGGAGGCTAGGGACTACTATTTTATCCTAGCTATCTGACATAGGGATAGCAGATGCATGTCACTGCCATTGGAATCGCCAATCCATGGCTCAAAGAAGTACTCAAAACAAATCTTGCTGCTATAGATCGTAGTGTCCAAGACAGATTCTAGCACCTCCAAGCACCTAAGAGTCCAAGACAAACTCTAGCAGCTAACTATACTCTTCCATTCTGTCAAATATGATTACTTATCATGGCTTATATAGTAAGATATAGCTCCATTACTATTCATAGGCTAATAAGAAAACATATGCAACTCGTAGGCAGATACCAAGTAAACACACACAAATTGATACAATAGGTCAATCCACATCTGCTTCCATGAGCACCATTCAAGTAAAAGCAAGCCCAAAAAGAAGTAAAATCAAATGTTCGAAATCACAGATGTTAATGCTTTTTCCTACAATCAATCAAAAGTTACACATTAAATATAAGACTTACTAATCCACATCTCACTCACAATATCTGTGTACACATCTCTGTCACAGCTGATCATATATAATTTATTCATTGCTACTTCCACCTTTGATCCTAACTATTGCTCACTCAGTTCTCCAAAAACTTTTTAGCAAATCTTTGTCTGCATCACCGATATTTGGATCAGCGAGTAAGCCCACAAATGATGATATTGTGTGATTATCAGCAACAAACTCTTTGATTCTCATCAACCTGACAAGCTCTAATGCTCTCCTAATGTCCTTTCCATCAATAAATCCTCTAATAAGTGTATTAAAGGTGCATTCATCTGGAAAGCATCCATTGTCCTCCATATTCTTCAGTAATTCATCGGCTTTTGCTAGCAACCCTTCTTTACAAAACCCTTTTATCATTATGTTGTAAGCACACACATTATGCAGTCCTTTAGCTGTGAGAAAGGAGAAGATGTCCACCGCTTCTCTAAGCCGATTAGCTTCACAGAAACCATCCATTAGGATATTGTATGTAATAATATCAGGGATCACTATATCAGTTCCATATAACTGGAAGTTGGGAATTGCAGCTTAACCAGTTCCATATATCTCTAAACCTGGAGTGTTTCACACCTTTTGCTTTTTGTTTTTTTCAGAATGGAAAAAAGAGAAGAAATTAACAAATGTCAACCAGGTTATATGATTTGATTCTGGGCTTAAAACTATGTTATGTAACCAAAACACGAGTTCAGTTAAGCAAGATCCAAGTGCCTGGAAGAAGAAAAATCTTCAACGACAGAGACTTCAAAGGTTGGTTATCTACAGAAAGCTAAAACACACCCCAAGAAATTCAATCAACACGTCTCCAATGAACCGATCAAAACTTTGTAGAGCCTAAGAGCCCTATGTACAAGAGTTGCATTGTATACACTATACAGCATTACAGCATGTGTGGTTATGCCTAATCAAGTAAAATGGTAAATTTGACCCCTATGCAAAGTAAGCACAACTGCTGTTTACAACCATTGGATAAGATATAGCACAACTAATGCGACTCACAGGCAGATGGCAAGCAAACAATTGGATACAAAATTTACAGGTTATGTTCCAGATTACAGGAGTTAAGGTTTTTGCCTACAGTCTATCAGAACACATTAAATATATGACTTACCAATTTATAATGTTCACTCATAATGTCTATTTTCACATCTCTTTCACAGCTGATCATCTATGCTTAACTCATTGCTCCTTCCACCTCCGCTTTAACCATTGCTCGCTCAGTTTTCCAAAAACTTTTTCAATAATTCCTTGTCTACATCATCAATATTTGGATCATTAAGTAAGCTCACAAATGACGATATAGTGTGATTATCAGCAGCAAACTCTTTGTTTCTCATTAAGCTGACAAGCTCTAAAGCTCTCCTCACATCCTTTTCATCTATAAATCCTCTTATAATTGTATTGAAGGTGCATTCATTTGGAAAGCATTTATTGTCCTCCATATTCTTCAATAATTCATCGGCTTTTGCTAGCAACCCTTCTTTACAAAACCCTTTTATCATTATGGTGTAAGCACGCACATTATGCAGCCCTTTAGTTATGAGAAAAGAGAATATATCCTCTGCTTCTCTAAGCCGATTAGCTTCACAGAAACCATCCATTAGGATACTGTATGTAATAATATCAGGGATCACTCCAGTATTCCCCATTTGCTTCACTGTTGTAATTGCCTCGTCAATTTGTCCATTCTTACACATGCCATCAAGGAATGAATTCCAAGCTATTATATCTGGTTTCAGTCCATGAGCTTTCATATCCTCAAAAAACTGGTGTGCAAGCTTGATTTGATTGTCTTTGCACAAAGCATCTATAAGAGTGCTGTACGTGATAACATCAGGGGTTAATCCGTTAGAATGCATCTCTTGGAGCAGACCAAGAGCTTTGTCAATGTTTTTAGATTTGCAATAGCCATTGAGTAAGCTGTTGTAAGTAACTACATCAGGTTTGCAACCATCTTTTACCATCACATCCATAAGCTTTTCTGCCTCGTCCATCTCACCACGTAAACAATATCCGTCTAACAGAGCGTTGTAAGTGATGATATCTGGAACCAATCCTATCCTAGTCATGAAATAAAAAATGTCCCGTGCTTCACCAACCTTGCCATCTTTACAATAAATATCAATAAATATGTTGTAGGTCTGTATGTCAGGAGTTATGTTATTCCTTAACATCTCAGTCAGCATATCTTGAGCCTCTTTCTGTTGTCCCAAAGTGCACATACCTCGAATTAAGGTATTAAAGGTGACAACATCAGGGGAAATTCCCTTGACTTTCATCTCCTTGAAAAGGCGGAGAGCCTGAGGTAATAACTGGTCTTTACAGAGACTATCAATGATGGTGTTGTAAATGACAACATTAGGCATAAAATGGCCATAAGACTCCATATTTCTGAGGAGTTTGAGAGCACCGGCATTATCACCGGACCTACAGAGACCTTTGAAGATAGAACCATAGGTGATTAATGTGGGTTGGTAGCCAAGCTTGACAACTTTATCCAACAATTGAACGGCTTTGTCCAAGTGATGAGTATGAACGAAGCCGTTGATGAGAGTAGTAAAGGTGACAATGTTAGGTTGAAAACCAAGTTTAATAATGTTGGCGAGAACAGAGAAGCCGAAATCAACAAAGTTCAAACGACAGTAGCAATTAGCAAGGATGGTAAGGGAGTAAATATCTGGACGAAGACCTAAGAAAAGGAGGTCTCTGTAAAGAGAAATGACAGTGGAGAAAGGTGGGTTGGGTTTAATCTTGGACATGGCACTCAATAACATACAGAAATCAATGATAGATGGAAGAGGTCTCATCGATATCATATGGTGGAAATGGGAAAGGGAGATTTCAACATTAGTAAACCCTAATTTGGATTGTTGTCTAACAAATTTCAGAAACAATTTGGGATCATCGTCATCAGAATCAAAGTCATGAGTAGCGTAATTGGTGTAATATCGGCAAGGAAACAGGTGAAAAGAGGGCGAATTGAAGAGGGGAATACTGAAATCGAAAAAAGGGAAAGTAGTATAGAAATGGAGAAACTTACTTGAGGAGATGCCATGAAAATGAAGAGGACGAAGGTTGATTAAAGTGGCGCCATGAAAACAAGGACGAAGAAAAGCTTCTGCAACATTAACAGATCGAGACCTCATCATATTCATGTATACTCTGTAAATCTGGAAACAATTACAGTATGAAGAAGAAAAGCTTGTATAGTCCTTACAAAGCCACGAAGGTCAAGTAGAATGTTGGAATTATTCCCAATTGGTGTACCAACTACTCTCTCCCTCCCTTTTGCCCCGCTGTTATTTTTGGGGTCAAATTTAGAAAACTTTGAACATAAATTACAGTTAATCTATAAAAAATAGAGTAATATAGTCATGACTCATGAGTGGTTTGGTAAGATTCGATTAATTGTATATTTTGTTAACACGACCTTTTTTTTATAAATTTTACGTGTATAAAAACAAAGACATAGACGTTTTAATACGTGTGTTGGAGACCGTGTATAGTCAAATGGGTCAAAAAAAATATATTGGAAAACAACTAAACTTAAGGTGAAAATAGGGCTAATCAGGCTTAATCATGTCAAATAATTCAAGTAAAAGCTCTAATCTTATGAAGCTGAGCTCCCTGCGGCTGCTCATAATGCTTAGTTATAATGGTGCTAGGTTCTCTTCGGCAAGGCTGCTTTAATCTTTTGGACAAATATGATTGATTTAGGAAATTTTGTCTAGAACTACCCTAAAGATAGGGTCATTTGTGAACAACTATCTATTTTTTTTTTTTATTTGTTTAGAACTACCCACAAGTTACAAAACGTTTGGGTAACACTACCCATTAACGTTTTCCGTCCAATTAAGACGTTATTGGGCCCACTTTTTCACTTTTCCCACTTAATTAACTCCCCTAATTATCTTCTCTCTTCTCCCTAATTAACTTCCTCTCCATTCTCACTCTATAATCCAAAAGATTATACTCAATCAATTGAACACAAATTCTCAATTATTCAAGTAATGTTTCACACTTTCCTTTTAATTTATTGTTTATTGTATTTGTATACAAGTTTTAATTGAACGCAATTAACATAATTAGGGTGTAAATTAGGGATTCGAATTAGGGTTTATGGGTCCAAATAAATTTGGGGATTTTGATTTCTAGGATTTAGGGGTTTAATTGAGTTCTAGGTTTCACTTATTTTGACTTTGAGATTGAATTCAATTGCACTTCAATTACTAATTGGCCATTGTAATTGATAGGATGTCTAAATTTGGCGGTTTTAATTTCTAGGGTTTAGGGGAAGTTAATTAGGGAAGAGGGAGAAGGTAATTAGGGGAAGTTAATTAGGAAAGAGGGAGAAGGTAATTAGGGAAAGTTAATTAAGGAAGAGAGAGAAGGTAATTAGGGGAGTTAATTAAGTGGAAAAAGTGAAAAAGTGGACCCCATTAACGTATTTTTGGACGGAAAACGTTAATGGGTAGTGTTATCCAAGCTTTTCTTAACTTTTGGGTAGTTCTTAACAAATAAAAAAAAAACGGGTAGTTGTTCACAAATGACCCTATCTCACAAATGACCCTATCTTTAGGGTAGTTATAGAAAAAATTTCCATTGGTTTAAGTAGGCCTAGGTTCGGTTTTATAACTAAGAACTGTCTCACTAATACTTGATAAATCACATTTATATAGGATTTATAGGCACGTTTATGCTAAGTTTATAGTTGCTTTTTAGGTCTTTTAGTCGCTTTTTAGGTCGTAAATACATAAGTTGTTTGTTTTGTACTCTATTACGTTCCGTTTGTGTTTTTCTTAATGTTTCAGGTGATTTGATAGACATTTGGACGCTTTCGTAGTGTTTGGAGTTGATTCGGATGATATTTGGATGGAAGCCGATGAATTGAGTTTATTAATTGGAGATCCCATGTTTGTGGATGTTGATTGATTTATATGCATGAGGAATGGATATATCATTCACAAGGGTCGATTTGCATCTTTCGGAAATGAATTTGAGTTAGAAACGAAGTTAAACGATGTTTTATAAAGTGGCAAGACTGACCTTTGTCCACTCTTTTGATCATAACTTGAGTTCTACAAATCGGATTGATGTGATTCAAATTGCGTTGGAAACTAGACTTAAAGATATTTCCAATGATAGGTCACACGCCCCAAGAAGCCTTATAGAACAGAAGTTATAGGCATTTGAATCTAAGTGATGCTGTCAGCCACCCGCGGGATAATTGCTGCGCCCCTGTCCCGCGACCACTCGACACCAGCAGGTGCTGCTGCCAGGCCGCGGCCACCAGCCTGCGCCCGCAGGTCTGGTCGAGCAGCCTTGAAGCCTCGAGTAGCTTTTTCATTCACATCGTCACAAGTCTTCGGGCCACGTCATCTTCTATCGTCCACTAATAATTCAACTTATGTAATTTATATTTTCTTACTTCTTTTCTTTAATTATTTTTAGATTAGTTTTAGGATAATATAAATACTCAAGGGATATTATTTTTCCCGCCTTTTATTATTTTTTATTTTACGTTCTTTTTAGTTTTCTCTCTTAAACCCTAGTTTCTCATGGCATTTCCATGGATTCTTCCATGGATGATTCTTGGGTATACTATTTTAATTCATTGAGGTATTTTATTTCTATTTTCTTGCTTTTAATTATGTTTTATTCCTTAGATCTAGTTTTTATTATTTCTTCCATGTTTGAGTAGTTTTATTTCTAGGGTTTGGGAATCCATGTTTATACTATGAATCTTGATTGATGTTTTTAATATTTTGATTATTAATTTCTCTAATTGATAGAGTTTTATTGTTAATCTTGCAACCTGATCAATTGTTTGATTAATTCATGTTAATAAGAGTTTGAATCGAAAGATCTTACTTTTAGAGACTTCCCTACAATTAGCAATTCTGATTATGTTAGTGACCGTACTGCATATGTTGAATTGAGAGCGTTAAGACCCGACCGTAGGCTTAGCAATTGCTCTAGATAATTGATTGATTGAATTTTTATTGATATTTGATAGATTTAGAGCTATAAACATGGTGAACCATAACCCTATGTCTTTTTATTAATTATTTTATCCCTCTTTTAATTTAGACTACTTTTCTATCCGAATTTCGTGACATAGGTTAGTTTTTCCAATTTCTTAGAGGTTAGATTAATACCATCTCCCTGTGGATTCGACCCTACTTACTCTACTACATTGTTAGTTGGTTTTGTTAGGAATTTATTTTTGACAGGTGTACGACAACCTATCAATACTAGCTTTCTTTTGCTCATCACCAAATTTTGTTTTAACTCAAAGTGATGTTTGTAATTAATCAAACATGGCATTAGCCTATTAATATAAATATCTTTCTGTTTGTGTATATTAAAAAAGAAAAAAAAAAAGAAAAAAAAAAAGCTCTAGTTATAGATTATTAATTGAAAAGTATTATAATAATAAATTAGCTGAGGAATAATAAAAGAGTGTGATATGTTGATATTTGCATTCTTTAATTGTAGCTTCTAAAATAAAATTAGCCAAAAAAAACATGAGCTATATTTTTTGTCACAAATAATTTTTGGTTTATATTTGTCCAAATTTCTTTTGGAAACATTTATGAAATCTTTTTATTTAAACATATAATAATTACTACGTATTGATATGGAATATGTTTACAAAATAATACAAGTATTAGTTTTGTACTGTAATTAATTTATTTCCTCAATTAATACATTTTTCTTAAAAAAATAAAAATAAAAGCATGTCAAAACCTTGACTTTCTTCCCAAAACCAACCTTAAAAGTTTCAAATAACCAGCAAAAAAATGAGTATCAAACTGTTAAAGAAGCTCATTAGTTTATTACTATCATCTGATTTGAACAGGCTCTTCAAATCTAGACATTCAGCGACATAAACAATAGTATTAGAATACAATACCCACATGTTTGACTGAGTGTGAGGAGGGATCCAAAAAGAACACATAATTAAGGGGCTATTAAATTGCTATTTACAAAATCTATAGACTGTTTGCTCAAGTTCTAAGCTAAGTATGCAGAAAACTGAAATAAAGCTTCGCTATATATATTCCCATTACAGCTTCACGAGTTATTTCTTTTCGAATCACAAAACAAAGACCCCTAGGAACATATTTACCATCAATTTAAAGCTATGTACACGATCAAGATTGATACCCTTTTTTATACCCCTTAACAAAAGTGATCACAATGAGGGTATCTTCATTAAAAATACTGAGGATACCATCTCAATTCCATCTCTTCGCGTTCTTTAACCCCTTAGATTTTGCTTTTGCTTTTGCCTGCTGAGAAGCCAACATTTTCTGTTTCTTCCGAGCCTCCTTCTCAGCCTGTTGAACAGATATCAGTCTCTGGCAAAGGAAAATAATTTAAGACATACTTCGTTAATCACCAGCTTAATATTTCCTTGGACATCTTTGATTTTGCTTTTACTTTGGAATTCTTCTCTTCAAGCTCTGCCTCACAATCCAATTCTCTTTGTCTTGCATCGAGATTCTTCTATAAATAATACTGCATATGCCATCAACTATATTCTTAGAAGCCTTACAAATCTCTGAAATAGTTAGGTCTACAACATCAATATTTAAAACACCATTTAAAAGGCTCCAATGCCCTCACTTTTACAGTTTTCCCCTTCTCGTTCTTTCATATGAGCAAAAGGATAAATTTTTTGGTTAATTAGTCACCGTTCTTAATTTTTTTTATTTTTCATATGTATGCAGGCTAATGCAGCTATAGATGTACACCAGACAACAATAGTTAGCATAACACGCATTATTCTGAGAGAGTCCATAGAGAGGTTATGAGAGATTATGAGTTCAGAGAAAAATGCCAATATTTTCATGCAAAATGTATACACAACAAGATAATACAATACATTACCAGCAAATTTATACATTTAGCACAGCAGAAATTGGCACTAACCAAAAGATCAGGTGTATCAAACCCAAACAGGGTCCACATGTCAAAGTGATCAGTTTGTATAACTATAGCAAAGTGCATTTGTATTTTAACCGGTAGAAAAACTCAAAAGACATTTCGAGGAGACCAATTGGAATAGTTTCTTTTGTCTATAAAAATTTAGTTATCTGGGTAAAAGTAGGAGTATCCAGTATATAATATTAGGAAAGGAAAGCAAATTCCGTAGATAATTCACCTGTCAAACACATCCTATAGCTCTGACTTGACTAAAATGAGCCCAGGAATATTTCCCACAACAAAAGAAATGAACAACACAAAACAAACCAAAATTGAAGCCAAATAAAAAGAACCAGAATCATATAAAGTGAAGCAATTCAAGACTTACATTGTAGTCCCCAACATAATCTTGTAGATTTCCGTCCTTCACCTCAATCACTCTGTTAACTATTTGATGAACAAGATACCGATCATGGGAAACTGTAATGACAGTACCTTCATACTCTTGTATAGCTTCCTGGAAAGCAATAAAATTAAGAATTAATAACTGCTTATACAAAGACTACTACTATTATAAGAGTTTTTAACATGAAATAGATCGCTAACCTCAAGCATCTCCTTTGTAGGTATATCCAAGTGATTGGTAGGTTCATTGAGAACCAGTAAAGTTGACTTTTTCACCATGAATTTACAGAACGCCAAGCGAGTCTGAAGAAGCAGAAAATGATGTGGTAAGCCTTCCAATGACATTGGAAGAGATTGAGTAAAACACTCAGGCAGAGCTGAGGATTAGTATTTTGACAATACTACCTTCTCTCCACCACTCAGAAAGGAGACCTTCCTATCAAGCATATCTTTTATAGTGCTAAAAGGATAAAAACCTAAATGCACAAGAAAGGAATTCTTAAACTAGGTCCTGGTAGTGGTAATATACCTGATTCTGCTCAAAATAATTTGGGATGACATTTTGCTCCCCTAATATAAACTTCACCAGCAGTAGATTTCTCCAAACCCATAATTTATTTTAACAAAGTGCTTTTCCCACACCCATTGGGACCAATTGTAGCAATTTTTGATTCATTATAGATATATGGTGATCAAGATTTTATTAAGTATTTTTTATTCATTATACAGATTATGACATATGTCTAGTTTTGAAAAACAAAAAACCAACAAACAGAAAATTACAGTAATATTGACCAAACCAATAATGGATTCATCTTTAATGTGATTACGAGATATTTTATTCTCTACTAGTGATGTTTAAAGGTTCTTAATATTATACCTAGTAAATCAATACATCTTGAAAGGACAGATGTACATAATTTATGCCTATTTAACAACTAGACATTTGAGAAACTCTTTGGTTGACCAAAAACATGTTTTTTCTTATATATATATATATATATATATATATATATATATATATATATACTGCCTCCATTTGTTATATTTAGTACTGCAAAACAGAAATTCTATGCTTTAAACCTTACCAAAACAGAAGTGAAAAACAATCAGTCCAAATTAGAATGCTATACAAACACAATTCAGTAGGAAAAGCCTAGTAAAATATACTGATATACTGTTGATGCCTCATTTTTCATGCCATTTGTATGTCCAATCATATTCTAATTAGCAAATAAACAAACTAAAATCTGCTAACAAGTCAAGTCTGTGAACAAGCATATCACAACTCTACAAACTTTGCTATATCTTAGAGCTCCAATGAGATTGGGCGACGTTCTTATAAACCGGGCTGTATCTTTTATATTGCAGCTTAACCAGCTTAAATTGATCTCTAAACCTGAGGGTTTTTTTTTTACCCCTTTTGCTTCTTTTCTTCTTTTTTTTCAGAATGGGAAAAAGAAAAAAAATAGCAAAAGAAGACAAGGTGAAAATGACAAGATTTCGAACTTATAACTATGCTATATGATCAAAACATGAAATTAGTTCGGCAAGTTCCTAGTGCCCTGAAGAAGAAAAATCTTAAATGACACAGTGACTTCAATGGGTAGTTATTATGCAGAAAGCTGAAACATACCTAAGGAAATACAATTAACACATCTCAAGCTAATGGATTAAAACTAAGTACAAGTAGATCCCTGTGTGCAATAAGTTCATTGTATATTACAAAGTTGACACGACTGGTGTTATTGACCTTAAATACCCCTGTTCTTGAACCTAGTTCCTGCCATGTGTTGTATCATGGCTTAGATAGTAAGATATAGCTAAACTTGAGCTCTGGCTCCATTAATATTCAAAGACTAATAAGAAAACAAATGAAACTCGTTGGCAGATACCAATTAACACACACAAATTAATACAATAGGTCAATACACATCTGCTTCCATGAGCACCATTCAAGTAAAAGCAAGTCCAAATAGAAGTAAAAACAAATGTTCCAAATAACAGATGTTAATGCTTTTTACTAAAATCAATCAAAAGTTACACATTAAATATATGACTTACTGATTCACAAGTCACAATATCTGTGTACACATCTCTGTCACAGCTGATCATATATACTTTAGTTGCTTCTTCCACCTTTGATCCTAACTATTGCGAACTCAGTTCTCAAAAAAACTTTTTTAGCAAATCCTTGTCTGCATCACCGATATTTGGATCAGCGAGTAAGCCCACAAATGATGATATCGTGTGATTATCAGCAGCAAACTCTTTGATTCTCATCAACCTGACAAGCTCTAATGCTCTCCTAATGTCCTTTCCATCAATAAATCCTCTAATAATTGTATTAAAAGTGCATTCATCTGGAAAGCATCCATTGTCCTCCATATTCTTCAGTAATTCATCGGCTTTTGCTAGCAACCCTTCTTTACAAAACCCTTTTATCATTATGTTGTAAGCACGCACATTATGCAGTCCTTTAGCTGTGAGAAAGGAGAAGATGTCCACCGCTTCTCTAAGCCGATTAGCTTCACAGAAACCATCCATTAGGATACTGTATGTAATAATATCAGGGACCACTCCAGTATTCCCCATTTGCTTCACTGTTGTAATTGCCTCGTCAATTTGTGCATTCTTAAACATTCCATCAAGCAATGAATTCCAAGTTATTACATTTGGCTTTAGTCCATGAGCTTCCATATCCTTAAAAAACTGGTGTGCAAGCTTGAGCCGATTAACTTTGCACAAGGCATCTACAAGAGTGGTGTATGTGATAACATCAGGGTTTAATCTGTTAGAATGCATCTCTTGGAGCAGACCAAGAGCTTTGTCAATGCTTTAGATTTGCAATAGCCATTGATTAAGCTGTTGTAAGTAACTACATCAGGTTTGCAACCATCTTTTACCATCACATCCATAAGCTTTTCTGCCTCATCCATCTCACCACGTAAACAATATCCGTCTAACAGAGTGTTGTAAGTGATGATATCTGGAACCAATCCTATCTTAGTCATGAAATAAAAAATGTCTCGTGCTTCACCAATCTTGCCTTCTTTACAATACATATCAATCAACATGCTGTAGGTCTCAGTGGTAGGAGTTATGTTGTTCCCCAACATCTCAGTCAGCATTTGTTGAGCCTCTTTCTGTTGTCTCAAAGTGCACATACCTCGAATTAAGGTATTATAGGTGACAACATCAGGGGTAATTCCCTTGACTTTCATCTCCTTGAATAGGCGGAGAGCCTGAGGTAATAACTGGTCTTTACAGAGACTATCAATGATGGTGCTATAAATAACAACATTAGGCATACAATGGCCATAAGACTCCATATTTCTTAGGAGTTTGAGAGCACCGGCATTATCACCGGACATACAGAGACCTTTGAACATAGAACCATAGGTGACTAATGTGGGTTGGTAGCCAAGCTTGACAACTTTATCCAACAAATGAACAGCTTTGTCCAACTGATGAGTATGAACGAAGCCGTTAATGAGGGTATTAAAGGTGACAATGTGAGGTTGAAAACCAAGTTTAATAATGTTGGCGAGAACAGAGAAGCCGAAATCAACAAAGTTCAAACGACAGTAGCAATTAGCAAGGATGGTAAGGGAGTAAATATTTGGACGAACACCTAACAAATGGAGCTGCCTAGAAAGAGAAATGACAGTGGAGAAAGGGGGGTGGGGTTTAATCTTGGACATGGCACTCAATAAAATACAGAAATCAATGATAGAAGGAAGAGGTCTCATCGATTTCATATGGTGGAAATGGGAAAGGGGGATTTCAACATGAGTAAACCCTAATTTGGATTGTTGTCTAACAAATTTGAGAAACAATTTGGGATCATCATAATCAACATCAGCATTAACATGAAAATCAAAATGTTTGAGACGATAAGAGTAAAATCGGGAATGAAATAGCAAAGGAAGAGGAGGAACGAGTAAAGAAAAAGGTGAAAAATTGAAAGACGAAGTGCTGGAAGAAAGAGGGGAAAAAGGAGGAAGATAACCTGAAATTGGCGAAGAAGAAGATGCAGAGCCGAGCAAAAGTAGAGCTTTGGCTGCTTTGCTCCTCATCATCATCGTCTCACTTCTCAGATGATGAACAAATTAAAAGTAATGGTGTTGGCTACTGCGAAAATTGAAAAGGAATAAAGATGATAAGCAAATTTAAAACATGGAAAATTTGAATTTTGGTACCTCGAATATAGGGGTAATTGAATTTTAGTACCCATCTAAAATTTTATTTTAAATTGGTACCTCCAAAATTGTAACTTTATAGGTTTTGGTACCTCCGTCCATGTTCCGTTAAGTTTTCCGTTAGTGGGGTCCATTATCTAATTATTTAATAATTTAAATTATTTAAAAAAAAACATTTTTAAAATAAAAAACAAAAAAAAAACTAATAAAAAAAAAAAAAAATCAACCAACCACGCGGCCAACGGCGACCACCAAGCCACGGCAGCTACCGCCGCGACTAGTCACGAAGCCCAGCCACAGCAGCTGCCGCCGCGGCCAGGCAGGGGTGCCCATAAACCCACCAGGGCCACCACCCACGATTCCACGGACCCAAGAACCCAGAAATTAAACCCACCACCCACGAACCCCGAAACCCACCACACCCCACCACCCACAAACCCCCGAAACCCACAACCCGACCACCCACAAACCCCCGAAACCCACAACCCGACCACCCACGAACCCCTAAACCCACCACCCACCACCCACGAACCCAGAAACCCACCACCCTACCACCCACGAACCCCGAAACCCACCACCCACAACCCAGAAATTTAACCCTAAAACCCTAAAAATTGATTTGGGGGAAAGGGGGAAGGGGTGATTTCGAGGCAGGGTTGGTGGTGGGGGGGGTGGCGTCGGCGCGGGGAGGCAGGGTGGGTGGGGGGGTGGCGTCTGCGCGGGGAGGCAGGGTGGGTGGGGGGATACTTCTAATTTTTTTAAGTTTTTTTTTATTATTATTTTTATTTTTTAAGTTTTTTTTTATTATTTTTTAAGTTTTTTTTTTTAAATAAATGTTTTTTTTTTTTTAAGAAATTAAATTATTAAATAATTAGATAATGGGACCCACTAACGGCAAAGTTGACAGAATATTAACGGAGGTATTGATATCTATAGTTTAGTCATTTTTGAGGTACCAATTTAAAATAAAATTTTAGATGGGTACTAAAATTCAATTACCCCTATTTTCGAGGTATCAAAATCCAAATTTTCCTTAAAACATTAACCACCTAAAATGGACATGCACTTTTTGTTGACAGAGAAAATGGACATCAACTTAATTCAATAATTATATGTAGACAATGTACTCGTAGTACTTACCAAGTAATAATATCATAATATGACTATATTACCTCAAAAAAAAAAAAAAAAATGACTATACGAGTGACTGAAATTGAGGAGTAACATCTTATTCTCTTTTTTTTTTTTTGACGGGAAGAGTAACATCTTATTCTAACAACATGCTTTTCTTGTCAAAAAAAAAAAAAAATGCTTTCGACTTTCGTATTCAACATCCAACTCTATATTAAATTGTTTTTGTAATGTGTACCTAAAAATGATGGAAAATATTCCCTTTATATTTATTTAAA